GGCGCCGAACCCTGACTAACCAGTTAACCAGTTTTGACTGTTTTTGAGCCACTTTTTGCCTTCTCCCATTCTCACTTCCCTATTCCAGTGCTTGTTAGGTAAGTCAAGTTCATCTGTTTCACTCAACTGTGCCCCAGTCCGGACATATAGCTTTTGTTCCATTTAGTCTTCAGTTTCTTGATACCCGTAGAATATGATGGAGTACGAAATACAAAAGATCATGATGGAACCACTTCTATTATAAATACGGCAAAGCTGATAGTTGGAAGAACGTGAAGAACAGCTCAAGAACCGACGAAAATAACTAAAAAATGTCCGCGGTGTACAAGTTCTCGTCTGCGCTGGCGTCCTACCAAAGCAGGGCGATCGTCCCATCAATGAAGAGATTGGCTGATAAGGACGAATAGTCTGGCGCAGGTTGCGGTGTGCGGAGGGCATATGAGGGTGACATTAACGGCCACGGCGCACCATCCGACATATACCCGTTCACAGGCATTCTCTCTACATTCTGTGGACGGGCACCGCGGTTGACAGATAGACGGCGCTCGATACTGCGACTCGGCTAATCCTGGATATCTTCTTCGGAAACTGTTGGGTTGGTGTTGTGCACTTCACCCACAATCTATGCCGAAAGGCGTGATCTTTCACAGGAAGTCTTTTGAACAGCCTAGCAATCATTTCTACTGCATCTGGATGGAGACTTGCAGCAAAAAATTTCGTTTACATTCCTCTTTCCGCCTGTCCCACAAAAATCGTGAGATGCGTGAATATAGACATCGATCTCTATTTTAACATTTCCAGACTGCTGAATTTTTCTATTTCATGCCCTGGAATGAACGGCAAAACTGCCCCTGCACTCCATTCTACCCTACCATATATAAACGGCGTCTGTCTATATTTCTGTCTGTCTGTATGTATGTATGTTTGTCTGTCTGTCTGTCTGTCTGACAATCTGTCTGTCCGGAAGTTCGGAATCACCTGAAGAGCCAGTTTGAGGGGGGGGGTCAAAGGTGGGTTGGGTAAAGCATGGGTCAAGATGCATGAACTAAGCCGACCCCGCCCGCTGTGGGCGGGGCATGCGCACAGTTGTGCGCCAAATATTTCAAAACTTCTTAATTCGGTTCCGGAAAGAGTCTGAAGCAGCTGCGAAATGTGGGAAATGATAGGAAATCAATTGGCAAACGAAATATGTGAGACACACCGGGGCGGGGCGTTCTTGGGCGGTGCTTGCCACAAAACTCAAACATTCGTAAATCGGTTCCAAAAGAGCTCGGAGAGTGGGAGAAGTGCTGCAAGATAGGCATCAGTTTTAGGACGAAAGGAGAGTGACACAAACCCATTCTGTGCGGAGCTATAAGTGGGCGGTGCTTGCTACAAAATTTTCAAAAGCTCGTAATTCGGTTCCTAACCGGTGAGCAAAAAATGCGGGAAACGGTAGAGAATGAATAGGTAGACGGATGGGGTATGCACATCTGCTGCGAACGTGGCTTGAATCAGATTTCGTGTTAGCCTTAGCCTACGCACAACTTGCACGTGGGACGAAGCTTCAGTCAAAGTGACTAAATGCGCCTCTTACAAAATGGGCGACTATTCACATCTCCTACAATACACACTCTTAGTTCTAAAAATCTGTTAGGTTGTGCGTACTTACGCTGAACAGCTGGAAGCAGCCGAACAGCAGCGGCGAAAATAGTGCTCTAATGAAAATACTTCCAAACCCATATCTCGGCGGAACTTTACTATGTAGTGAACTAGTTCTCTGCGCATTGCTGCAGAACGTATTGACCCACATCTGCCCCGCATATTAATCCTACTCTTCTTTTAGGGATTTATCATGCCAACTGCATTTAGGTTGTGTTTAGATTCACTCTTTCAACTTCTTTAATACGGAGATGGGCCATTGTACGTAATATTTCTTGGCATGTGTTAGGCAGCGTTTCTGCGTTTCATTAGCAATTTTTGCGCTGGTCGGCTTGGAGTTTTTCACTTTCGCCATACCTGTGAACTCTGTAAGCTGCGAAGATGTTTGAGTGAGTTACTGTAGTGGCAGGATTTTACAGGTCTTCCCCAGCATCGCTAGCCTGAGCAAGCATAGTTTCGAGTTACCACTCTGGTGCCCCCAACCTAAGCCGAATATTTCCGCGAGTTTGTTTATATTTTTTGTATCTCGACTAATTGTGCAGTTACAGCTGCATCGAGTAATGCTATGTGTCGAAATTGTGGATGGAGAGCTGGAATGTCCGGATACAGGAGGAAATTCCCAATAAAAGATGGCATTCCCAACTTGTTACGTCAATTGAAAATGACAGTTTTGAAGTTTGAATGAACGCTTGGTCTGATATGACCACTAAAGGCAGTGGGCACAATGACTGGGGGTGGGCGGTTATTGCCGGCATCATTAATGGAGGTGCTGCACCATACTCCACTCAGCCCTACAACCAATGACGTTGCTAGTAACCGCCCCCCCCCCCCCAAGCCAATCGTGCCCATGCTTGTCAAAGGAAAGGCGTATCTATATTCGGACGTTATGTGCGTTTTGCGCTGTGTCCTGGTTATGTTTATATGTTCCTTTATCCAATTTGTGTGTGTGCTTGTTGATTGTTACTCCTGTTATCGTTGAGAAATTGTAAAAATTCTTTATTATTATTTTTGAATGAGTTCCATTGAACACCGTGTGTTTTCTTCTTTTGTGGAATGAATTGTTCGGCTTCACTGAGACTTAAGCCTTCGTGGGCGATCGCTGCTTTATGTAGGCCTTATAAAAGAATTCGGCGAATAGGTAGAGGTAGCTGAGGTACATAAGACCACCGATTGAGAGGACATTCCAGCTAAAATGAAAAGATTTTGGAAAGACGTTATGTCGTCACTGAGCGAGCAGTGACCGAGACACATTGGCAATGGGGCGTGCGGTCGCGCAGCAGCTGGCCCAGTCGCTACCGCACGCTTGATTGCAACCAGATGCGGATGCATTATATAATTCTATGCAGATGACTTGCTTACCTTACAGCACAGTTTGGAATTTGATTGTAGCTTTTGATGATAACAAGATGTGCAAAAATATAACAGCTGATAACAAATTGTGCAATCTGAATCGTGGTGATGAATTTCGCAACCGGTCGTGGTGTTTCGATTTTCATCGCTCGAACTCCAAAATAGCTGAAAAAGGGAAAAGTTAGCAACAGTTAAGACGACCAACCGAGCACTGCTTATACTTGGGTAAGAAGCTCGTTTTCTGTCATTTTGCACTTGACTAAGGTCCACAGGAGAAGAATTTCTGGTGTACGGCCAGAGGGAAGGTTGGGGGGGGGGGGGTGGCGCTCTGCAATCTTAGCTATCTTGTTGGTAGTTCATGTTGACATGCCTCAATTTGATGAGACCTGTAAACTCTCGTGAAGCAACAAAGTGGTACAAGAGGGTCACTTTAGTCACACTAAATGGCGGGTCTTCACAGGGTGACAGTCACACTAAATGGCGGGTCTTCACAGGTGTACAGCTTCGCTGAGTACCATCCGTTGCCCCCACCAAGCCGAACTACTCCGAAAAATTGTATTCGCATGTGCTATGTCTTAGGACCACTCCGGTTATCTGCAGCCTTTCAAACGTGCTTCTAGCGTGAATTTGTTCCGCCGCTTTAAAAGATCCTCATTCAAAGCGGTATTTGTTCGAGAGGTGATATTTAGTCGCTAGGAGGGGTCATATTTGAGTTTTGGGAACTGACTTTTCTGACGATGGTTCCACCATTCCATGCCGCGTTTCTACACCTCCCACAACGTTTGGCAAAGCGCCAAGTACTAGTTGCCAGTAGACAAACGGGAGCTTCTATTTGCCCCTCCCCTCCCCCACCCCTCATCTAAAAACTTGTAGATTGTGGGAATAGTTTAGCATTGGGAGAGTACGTACGACAGGTCATGTTTTCTCATTCTGTGCATTGTACTCTTCTAGGAGTAACTGGTCTGAAAAAAAAACTTGATGTAAAATTTACTTACAAGTACATGATGGTGTGTACAGTAAGGTTAAGAGCAAGTGACCATCGGGCCCAAGCCTGATGCTCAGAGTAGCAGATGGCGGCGTAGACGAATGTGAGTGCATGATGATACCAGTGCATAAAGATCACTGGTTTCTTTCTGAAATTATCCAGTCAATCACTTGTAACGGATCACACAAAGTATCTCGCCACAAACTAATCAATAAGACAAATTCAAAATCCTTTAATAAATTTAGTGATTCAAAACAGCGTACCTCAAGTACGAGGAACAAAGTGTCACCGAGTTCCGGTGCCTTCGACATCACAAATGCCCATCCCCAGAAACCCGTTGATGCATCCGTATAGTATTCATTAATATTACAGTAGGAACCTGGAAAATGGTACAAATTCATAATTTTTTGCAAGAATATATAGGTAGAGATGTGAGTCTCTAGAAGCCTCGGTAGGTTGAATTTTTCATAATTTGGATCTAATATTTTTCATATTTGGACTTGTATTGAAGCACAGCTTCACTAGGGCTGCGCCACGCACTACAACTCCATTCCAAACCGTTGAGGCATTTTGAATCTACATCTATATGGTGCGCCTATATCGAAGTGTGCAATGCGCTCGATTCCTCTCTGGGACACTCCGTTTGAATGTGTTTTGGACCTCTTGCAGGGCCCTGATATTGTGGACGCCTAGCCATCGCGGACCGATTACGGAGCCGCACATGCTATTTGTTCAGCCCCCATTTTCAATTACTTGCTCCATTCTTCCATAATCAAGCCCAATTTAGCTGCAGCAATACACAGGTCGAGTGAAACCCACTCTTCAACCTCCCCTAACTCCCTGACGTTCCCGCGGGATGGAGGAATATTTCTGTTTGGAGAAATAAGCTTTTCTTGAGGACTAATATGCAGCGAATTTTTTGATTTGGCATATGGTCCCGACAGCTCGGAGTTCTCGGACAACTCCAGGGTTCTGACCCTATCTTCGAAAATCGGGGCAGTATGATGATAAAGTTGATTCCTTCCGAAAACTGGAGCTAGCAAAAATTGTAGGGGCTGGAAATTGTAGAGAACGGGGGCATTTTTCACTTTTGCTACTTCCCATCGACGTGTCGACCCATCTAGACAGCTCTTCTCGAGTTGACAGGTTTTACCATGATGGCTTGACGAGCTTGCTCCAGCTTCACAAGAGTTCACAGGTTTCACCAGAGTGAGACTTGTAAGTAAGTAGTGAAACAGCGAAAGTGCAAAATACCCCCCGTCGCCGAAGTGCATCAAAGTTACATCCTCCCCGGCTGAGGTCAGCAGAGGATTCCAAGACTTCCTTGTTAACAGCTTCCGAGGTCAAATGTCCGTTAGGGGTTTCCCCGATAACAGTTCCGCTCGGGTGACGCTGTTCTGAAGCGATCTCTGGCCTGTGGAGGGTGAACTGGCGCGTCCCTGCCATGAGGTGATCGGCGACGATTTAATCGTTGAAAACACCACGATGGGACGCCCTGATAATATGTTTTTTCGCTGCAGATAACATTTTAATAGCAGGAAGGTGAGAGTTCCAGGTGGCCTTTGCAATGACTTTTGATTTGTGGAACATTCGACCCCTCGGGTTCAATGAACCATATTTTGAAAGATGATTAACTATCTTATAGTCACTGGCGACTCAAAATGTTAACACTGTAAAGAAAAACAGGCTGCTTTAATGCGGTATGCTTTTTCGGGGTGCGCCATGTACTCGACTCCCCTCCGAGACAACGCAGTCGTTTGAATACGTTTTGGGGGCAATAAGGCCCAGGTATGCAAGAAAATAGGCAGGATTTCAAGTCACTCTAGCCAAAAAAGGGTCCCATGTAAATGACCTCGATTGGGAATGAGGGAGTATTTGGCGTGGACTAGAAGTGTGGGGCGATTCCGCCCATTTATGCACCGCTCTAGGATGTCAGAGTCCAGTAAGAAGTGTGGTGCATCCCAAGGAAACTGTCATCATTAAAATTTTGATCTCTTTGTTTGAAAAGAATCACTCACCAACAAAACCATCATTCCGGAATGTTTGGAATAATTCAGGAATTAATTTATAAGCTGCTACACCGGAGAATAATGAAAACATGAAATTCCATAGAGCTAGCGTGCCGTCCAACTCGAGCGGTTTCCTATTTCGCATAAATTTTTGGCCCAGATAAATCATTAATAAATACGCAACGGTAATCTGAAAATAATGTCTCTTGGAAAAAAATGTCATCTCGGAAAAATCATCTTTCAAGAGATTTTCAAGTTCTTCTCACCTTATATGAAGTTGGTACCCAATGCGTCATAAAGGCGTCTGTTTTCTCAAGATTCCATGAACCGAGAAGGACATCAGCCAAGCCCACTGTTGGAGACATTTCTGGAAAAAGGAAAACTTTACCTTGGAAATCGATGGCAACGCTGGCGGAAATGAGAAAATCCAATATTGAAGTTCTTCAAGGAGTGCGGACTACTCGAGAATGATCGGTTCTGAAGCTAGTTGTACCCATGCAAGAGGATTCAGCTCCATATCTCAGAGAAGGAAAGGGCGTGGCCGCGTACTTCATCCAAACATTGCGTAGCATGCGTTTTTTGCAAGATGTTCCTGTTTGAAACAATCTACATTGTGTATTGTGCTGAAGAAATGCATAATTCCCATCGCCTTTAAAGAAAAATATCCCAGCAGAAGCGCAGCCGAAGGTATGCCTAAATGGAGTATGCAGTCATGCCTCCCCATTTCCTGAATGTGCAGTGCTGTGAATTCAATAATGATGTCAGAAGATGTTATAAAAGGGAATTCATTGTGAGGAACACTGTTCGAATGTTTCTTACAGGTGAAACTAGCATATACAATAAACAGTACTATAGATTAAGGTACGATGGGGTCCTGTTCCGGACCAGTACGGTCAGTATGGTTTGTTCTATAAGAAGACTCATATATGTAGCTGCTATGTACTTTTCTACCGCACCGGCTCGATTGGGGTCCGCTTCGAGCCGAAAGTATGACTTCACTGCCACTAGAAGACGGTAGAGTCTCTGCCTGGTTCTTCAAAGGCCCGGTCACGCTTTAACATCAGTTACTTGAACTCTGTCAGTCCACCAGTCCACTTTTTCAACGTCGTATCTCCGAGGATTCCTACTTGTCTAGGCCCTGGTTCGAGGCTCTCATTTTGACATGAGTGCGGCGATTGGGGGTGGCTTTTGCACCTCTTCAACGGCTCCACTACTTCTAGTTCACAAGTCCCCACTTCTGGGGGGCGGGGGGTGGGGGGGGGGGGGCCGGGGGGGGGGGGGGCGGGGGGGTGGAACTTATAACCCTTGTGAAAGGCTGGAGCAAGTCTTGTCTAAGCACCATGTACGTGTCAACCAAGAAAAGGCTATCTAGAGGGGGTCGACATATCAATTGAGACAGCAACAATGCCCCACCTCCGTCGCCGAACTGCGCATGCAGTTCTTATTCTTGCGAAAGCAAAGGCGCCATTTCTTATAGTGAAATCCACCTTCCTGGACTCGACAAGCAGGGACTCTGTGACTCTAGCAGGAGCTGCACAGCTAGAAAGCTGAACCGGATTAGTGTGCAGTTCCTGTATTTGTGATAGTAAGGTGAACCACTTGCATTGGATGTCTTTGCCTTAGATACCGGAACAATAATTAAAGGATCAGAATGTCAAACAATTACTAGGAGGTGCATTTTGATTCTTACTAATATAATAATGATCAAGACTCAGAAAGGCCATCCGGGGCTTGGATTCCATAGGTGGATTCCATGGTGCAAGGGTAAGTAAATTTATCCTCAATTTTTCCAGTTTCTGAATAATCAAGTGATCATATGATCGAAGGTTCGTTTGGCCTAGGTGATTTTGGTTAAATGTGGGAAATGCGGCCGCTTTTATCTATCGCGCTACCCGTGCCTACACGCAGTTTCTAACACTTACTGTCTTCAGGCCTATGATAACGGACCCGCCTGAAAGTCACCCGCTTATGATCAGCTTTGGTCTTCCATGTTAAAATGTCATGAAAAATCTAGCAAACTACGGTCTCCCAACGCTCCTACCACGCGCAATCAGTAGAGTACACTCCTACTGCAGCAGTTCAGTTTGCTAAAGGCACCATGTGGTACTCAGCGCCGCTTGAACATGCCACTTAGAAGACCTACCGATTCCTGTCACCAAAGTTTACAGGACTTCCCAAAGTGAGACCTATTAGTGAAAATGAATCCGCAAAACCCCGAAGCCGGAAGTAGCGAAAGCAGAAATTGCGCCTCCCCCCCCCCCCCTTGGCCGAACAGCACGCAGAGGAGAACTGTGTACAACCTCAAGCATTAAACATAGAGAATATACTTCGATGACAGATTTTGCTCAGTAAATGATAATAGATACACATCAATGAAGTTCCGTGCCACCTCTATGCGGCTCTTAAAAATTAAAAATTTCGCAACATTTCGAACTGTTCGAGTAAAGGTACATTTGGTTAACGCTTGTCAATTTGTCGGGTCGCATAAGACCCTTGGTGGACGTATGGGTATCATAGCCATAAAAACATCTTCCTTAGCTACGAAAGTGGGCGGGTAGTGTGCAGAACCAGGGGATGCCAGGAGAAAGCGATTTCCACGGAAACCTTTGAGTAGGCGAACAAATTGCCCTGAGGAAGTTGATTACCCATCCCAAAGCCCCTTCGTCCTTAAGCAGAGGCAGGAATCTTCATGTTCTAGGTCCCAACCCTTTCTTCGCCCCTTACCCACTTAATGCATCCAACAAATAATTGCAGCAAAGGAATAGGGAAAAGAAATTTCTACCATTTTCAGCTTCGGAAGAGTCTACAGTCTCCACAGTATAGCTCGGTGTTGACTTGACTCAATAGAGTCCCCCTCCTTCCTGCCCTTCATTTGACTGACGCCTTGTACTGTACAGGGTCAAGAAAGAACCCTGTTCCTAAGTGCTCGCAAAGATGAAACCCGCATAAAATTCAGTTTGTGGCGAGGGCAGTTAACGTGACCTGCCAACATTGCTAAAGATTAATTTTAATCCGAATAAAGTCAAAAATTCTCTACAAAAATTTTTTCTAGTAGGAGCAAATTTCAAATGATAATCAGAGGTTCGATGAAATGTGCAGGTCCGATGCTCGGGAAACTGCAAGGCGCCGCAGCATATATCATAGACTGACTGGCAAAATCGGCCGCCGGTGATAAGGTTTTGACTGGAAAACACAGCGACCAGTGGCCGATTTTAAATCAAAGCCATATTGTCACGCCATAACGGCCTTTCGCTTCTATTGATATTCTCGTGCTGTATTTATCGATCTTTCAGTAAGCGGTCTGAAGGTCGCCGTGAGCAAATTCAACGCTAACATTTCAACAGCTGCTGTCCATAAATACGATTGCGTAAATAAACTGCTTCGCAGAAGTAATCAGAAGGTATGAAGCGATAAGAGCCAGAGCTCAAAGGAAGACCGGGCTCGTGTTCGTCTTGTGAGGGCACCTTGTTACTATTGCCCTTAGTTTTTTTCTAGTTGGCTTGCACGCCTACGTGGTGAACCTGTGTGAATTCTTTTCAAGTCGTGAACAAATTTCCGGCAATGTGGTAGAGCTTACGAGAGATTCACAGGTCTCCACATGAAGGCATCGATATGATCGATGAGATTGCGGCAAAACAATAGGCCCCACGTACAGGGAACTGCCTCTGGTTAGGAGCCTCAAGGATGCCTGCAGCTTCTTTTGATCAGATCCAGAGCCCTGTAATCCTACCGATCCAACCTACCATTAAAAATCACTGAGAAAATTTCCTTATTGAAAGTGGTAGGTACATAACATTACATTTACATATCACAATATTTCTCACTACTACTGTACGAAGGGGATTCACAAATAACCGACCGCGCCGCGACCGCGGTAGCCCGGTAGGCAGAAATTTCGTGGGCCCAGTTCCGTATCCAAAACTTCTTCATCAGTTGATTATTTGTACTGAATTTCAATGATGTCCATTTCCATACTCTCTTCGGGACTTGTATTTTAAGGCAAGAACATCCGGTGCTTTTCAGCTTGGAGAAGGGCATTTTGCACATTCTCAGTTCATTTTGTTAGTTTATGTTAACTAGCCTGAAAACTTTTGTGAAACCGTGAAATGGTGCGAGTGAGCCACCGTGGTCACAGGACAAATATGATATTCATTCAAAATTCCATGGAAGACCTCTATAAATGGAAGAAAACAAATTTTTATCAGATTTTTCTCAGTGAGAAAAGTCGACCATGGAAAAAGTGGAGCACTCGCTGACGGCTCGGTACCTTGTGAACCTACATAGCAACACGGACAAATATGTTACATCAGACGGTTCCACAGGTGGCTTGTACAAGCTCAGCTGAGTGCCATTCGGTGCCCCACCAAGCCGAACGGCCCAACGTTCTCCGTTGCAGCTTTTCTTTAGGCTCAGTTACGCCGAACATCCAGGATTTACTTTGTGAGAGCTCGTATGTATGCTATGTAGCAGCTTTGCATATCAAACGACTCCTATGACAAGGGTCAAATATGTATCAAACCCGGCGACATGGGGGTCGTATGTGACCGGCTGGTGATTGGGAGGGAGTCGTAGTATGAACAGGCTTCAGTAACGAACAGAGCAGTGGTAACGTGGATGAAACAGCGCCCTTGCACTGCGCTTGGCCGTGGAGCGCGGTATTTCTGTCGAATGAGAAATTCACAGCAATTATAATACATTCTAGTGCAAACAAATCTACAAAATAGCTCCAAATCACCACAAGAATGCTGAGTTATGGGCAAAAGTCGTGCCCCAGGCGGGAGTCGAACCCGCACCTCACGCTTTCCGGGCGAGTGCGCTATCCGTTACGCCACCAGGGCCGCTTTTACCCTCTCAGCTCAACGGCTTTTATGCCGTAGCCTATCAGCATTCACCAAATCAGCTTGGTTTGAACCACGACGACGGCAACGGCATTTGATGAATGCTGAGGCCAGCTAACTCGGAGTTGCGCGATCCATTTTAGGTCTCAGAGAGTTGTCGCAGAATTTTCGTACTTCTAAGCGGTACTGACTGTGCATTCAGAGCCTTTCCCAATGTTGTTCCTTCGCCCAGTTCGGTGCAGAAACTCACTGTTATGATCCATAGTTGTTTATATTCATTAAACATTTCATGGTAGACCTCTATAAATGGAAGAAGAGTAAATTTTAGTTCATCCTCTGTGAGAAAAGTGGACCATGGAAAAAGTGGATGGCTCGGTACCTTGTGAACCTAGCAACACGGACAAATATGTTACACAGCATTTGGATCACGGGTTGGCTCTTCCCCGTTTTTGATGCCACAGAATTATGTGTGTCATGATGGAGAAGCCCTAAGTAATTCCGAGGTAGCTTCGCACTCTGTAGAATAC